AGGATTTGGCAAAAGTTAATTTATGACGACCGGCCGCCTGCCTGACGTCAACCCTCCTTGGGAATGCTATTGTCTCTCTTTATCTGAATGGTATCACGGAAGTCTTGTAATATGCACTATCGATTTTGTTGTCTTTTAAAACATTTTTTATACTATTACTTAAATTTTTAATGTTATTTTCGGATATATTTAAAAAAAAGTGTTATTAAAATTAAAATAAAAAATATTTTTTTACAGATTTTATATTTTGGAATAGTATCGTTAGTAACTTCCTTGATTAACGTACAGTTTTGGATTGAACTTGAGGTAAACGATATTTATTTCTTAGAAAATGAAAGTATTTATATATAATCTATACCTAGTATAAAAAAGCAACAAACTCTCGCGTTATCAACACAAATTTAACGACGGATGGATCATCAAAATCGGCCCATACGTTTTGTCTCTAGAACATCATATAGGAACGTACATACATAGACTGATAAACACGTTACCCTCCTTTGCGTCGCGCATTCGGGTAAAAAGGCCTAAAGAAAAGTTCGCAATAGCATGTATCTACCTTCTAAGGTACGCTGCAATAACTATTTTTATCTATATGAAACGTACCTAGGGACGCGAACCAGTGAAGCGACACGAAGTCCCTAGCAGTAATAAGAAGTAACGTCAACACTAATATTATAATAAAGTTTATATTATGTAGAGGGATAATCTCCGAAACTACTGATCCATTCCAAAAAAATCTTTTACTAATAGGAAGCCATATATATTACCGCCGAGCAGGCTATAGAGCCTTTTTTTTATTCCGACAGAAATATGTTTACTGTCAGTCATTATAATTACTTAAATTAAAAAATTAAAGCCGTAAAATAATAGCTGTTAAGTTATTAATTTATAAGCTATTGTTAGACGTCTAGGGAAGCACCCGAGCGAAGCAATGGTTAGTCGCAAGTTATAGATAAAGTGCTGACACTGCAATTATATTATTAAATATCTCATACACACTATAAATCTACAAATTTTGTAATTTTCAGAATTTAAAATGGAGTTCTTATAAAAAGAATTCATTTAAAATCTCAGTAAGCATGTTGGCGATAAAAGATCTATTTATCAATTGTGCTATTAGTTTTGCATGTCAAAAGTTTTACACAACCTTAAGAAAAGTTGAGACAGCTTGTGTTGAAACGTTAAACTGTACTAACGAATCAGGTAAGGCATTTCAATATAGTTTCATTATTAGTTTATGCAAGTATCAAAATCTTTTCGAATTTGCGAAGGCAGTGGTAGCCCAGTGTTAACGCACTCGCTTGACAAATCGAGTGAAGCGAGTTCAAATCCCAGGTCCTGCACCTCTGATATTTTCATGTGCGAGTCATTTCCAACATGATTACCACTTGTCTTAACGGTGAAGGAAAACATCGCGAGGAAACCTGCATGTCTGAGAGAACCTAGCAAGTTTTCAAAAAACATATAAAGTCCGCCAACCCGCATCCCCTTCGTATTAAAGGGAGGCCCGTGCCTAACAGTGGGACGTTAAAAAGGGCTGAATACATAGTGCTGTATAATATTAATTATTAAACATAGTTAAAAATGAGGATTATTAAACAAGTTTTTATAATATATAAGTTTACATCAGACCATAACTTGTAATTTTTATTTTTCAGCTGCGAGAGAAACATGTAAAAATGTGCTTAGATATAATGCTGTTGCGTTCCATAAGATTCAAGCTTGTCGTTTGTACGAAGTTGATGCGACTCTACCATTCCGATTGATGATGTCGGTAGTATCTTATGCTGTAGTACTAATACAGTTTGCATTGATAAAATAATATATCTAGTGATTTGTTTTAGTGATTTAATAAAGTCTAATTAGCGTCTTATCTGTTATTAATGGTAAAAATAGCACTGTTTATTATTTGAGAAAATAAAGTTAATATAAAAAAGTCACAAAATATGGCCTTTTATTTTTTTTCTAAGTCTGTAAAAAAATTGTAGATTTTACATTTTTTTATCTTAAATTTAATATTTCAAATTTTTAAGTACGTGTATGAGAATGTTATGTATATTCGTATGTTATATATATATGTACCTACACGAATTTTACAAAAAGTATGGCATGCATAACATTAATACTAGGAGTAATAAATAACTTGGAACGCCTGTGACTCGTTTACATATAGAGTCAGTAATAACGATTACTGACTCTTTGATAGACGATGTATAGCTTTTAGAACAGGAACCCAGAAAACGTTTAAAAAGCTTGTATTGCCAAATTTAAAAAAATATTAAGGAGCGTTTGTGGCTAAAGGATATACAATTAATGATTTTATAGAAGAGGACACGCCTTGGGAATGAAGTGATCTCGTTTAGGCTACTTCAACTTTTTACATAGAATTATTATTAATTATTATTTAACTCTACTAACTCAGGTCTGAGGATTTTTCTTTCCGAACTGGTAGTATAAGACAAGATGTTCCGTAAAAAATGTAATAATTTAATGGTGAATTTTGAATTTTTAATGATCACATAATTAAATTTAATTATCACAAAAAAAATCATAATTAATATATAAAATAACTAAAGATGATAATATTGTATCTTGTTAAATTTTATGGCTTTAAAACGTTAGCAATTATATAAGGAACAAAAATCCGTAAAATTCTCCCGCTGTCCAGCAACGAGTAAGAAGAGAAATGGAGGGATGCAAACCGTAAAAAAATAGTTTTTTGTCAACATCCAGCTTACTGCGACATCAAAATTATTCTTCACAAAAGTCTAGTAAAAATTACAACTTTTATAGATAAAACTTTTGTACAACCTCAATTCTGTATAACCTCAAATTTTTCGAGAAATTTCTGAAAAACCCCTTTTTTTATTTTTTTTATTTCTAATTTCTGCAAAAAAATTTTGATTTACATGAAACTAGGGGAATATAATCTTGGGAAAACATATATTTGCATTTTTTTTGAAATTGAAATGTTTAGCCGTTTCCGAGAAATTTATATTTTATGGTCTCGGGAGACTGAAAATCACCCCCAACGTCAAGTGGACGTTATAATTATAAAATTTTCAGATAGGGCTCTTTTTTGTCGTCTTGTCTCTACTTTGTGAAAAAACCAAAATATTGCATGGTCATCCTCTAAAAACACCCTTTTTTTTAATAATCATTGAATAAAAACTTATTAACAAAAAAATAAAAACCGACTTCAAACAAAAGCACTAAAAAGTAAAAAATAACTGATTGGTAGTTTTCATTTACTATACATACCTAATCAAATATTTTCGAATTCGGTGTGCTTATTTAACTAAATAATAGTCGACTTTTTGGAACAATAACGATGCATTTGTTATTACAATGAGTTATACTCCACTTCACAGAACTATACGTTCTGAGATATTGAAACCTTAAAAGGTATCCTAGACGTTGACTCGAGTAAAAAGTTATCACTTCACCAAATTTCGTTGAAATCGGTTCATTACCCGCATACAAAAACAGACAAACAGACATACAGACAATATTTTTAATAACTATTGTTTTGTGTACATAATACATTACAAATAAACGAAAACATCTATCCCACGGGAACCGTACATTTTTGCGGGATAAAAAGTAACCTATTTGTTATTCTCATGTATGACCTATATTATTGTAAAGTTTCATCAAAATCCAATCAGTAGTTTTTGTGTACTAAGCTGTATAAGTTACTATAGTTATTTGACTATCCCACGGAAACTCTTTAATTTTCCGGGATGAAAAGTAGCCGATTTGTTATTATCATGTATGAACTATATTATTGTAAAGTTTCATCAAAATCCAATCAGCAGTTTTTGTGTACTAAGCTATACAAGTTACTATAGTTTTTTGACTGTCCCACGGGAACCCTTTAATTTTTCAGGATGAAAAGTAGCAGATTTGTTATTATTATGTATGAACTATATTATTGTAAAGTTTTATTAAAATCGAATCAGTTGTTTTTGTGTACTAAGCTGTACAAGTTAATATAGATTTTTAACTATCCCACGGGAACTATTTAATTTTCCGGGATAAAAAGTATTTAATATGTTGCCCGGAGATATAAGGTACCACCATGCAAAATTTCATTTAAATCGGTCCAACAGATTCGGAGATTAGCCCGTACAAACAGACAAACAGACAGAGAAACAAAAAATTTGAAAAAAATCTAGATTTGTTCTATTTGTCTTCTTACATCTCCCTGACTCGGTTTTTAGCATTTTTTTGCTATGTACAGACATTCGACTTCTACTCTTTTATTATAGTATAGACATAAAAAAAATATTTCGATTAAATACGCTATGAACGTAGCAATCTTGCAGCGGGATCTCGATCCATAAAGGTATACCGACAAGTTTGCAATAGTATATTATGTCTATCTCCAAAGGTACATTTGCAATTGCTATTTTTACTCCTTGGACATATTTGCATGAAATTTCGTATAAATTGAATACGGCAAAAATAATGAGTTTCGTATTTCAGGGTTTTCTAAAATTCAACCCCTAAGAGGGTAAAATAGTGGATGAAAGATTGAATGGAACCTACATTTTTAGAGATTTTATTTGTAGATATAGCGCGAGCGAAGCCGTGGGTTCTGCTAGTTGTCTGTAAAAGTGTGATGTGATTCTTATTACTGACTCTGTGTAAGCGAGTCACGGGCATTACAAGTTTTTGTTTACTCCTAGTATTAAAGTTATGCATGCCACACTTCTTGGAAAATTCGTGTATGTATATATATATAACATACGAATATACATAACATTTTCGTACACGTACTTAAAAATATGAAATATTAAAATTAAGATAAATAAAAGTAAAATCTACAAATTTTTATTACAGACTTAGTAAAATAAATAAAAGGCCATATTTGTGACTTTTTTATATTAACTTTATTTTCTAAAATAATAAACAGTGCTATTTTTACCATTTATAACAGGTAAGTACCTAATTATGCTTAATTAAATCATTAAAACAAATCACTAGATATATTATTTTATCATTGCAAACTGTATTAGAACTACAGCATAAGATACTACCGACATCATCAATCGGAATGGTAGAGTCGCATCAACTTCGTACAAACGACACGCTTGTATCTTTTGGAACGCTACAGCATTATATCTAAGCACATTTTTACATGTTTCTCTCGCAGCTGAAAAATAAAAATAACAAGTTATAGTTTTATGTAATCTTAAAAAAAAGTTTATACACACAGGACGTGCATTAAACTCTTTCCGCTCTCACTGGGTTCAAGAGCGTATAGTTAACAACACTGTGATAAGGGTCAATCATTTAAAAAATGTTTAATATTTATCTTTTAAATACTACATTGATATTGAACCGAAATCTATTCTTCTAATGAGTATAATCCAAATAAAATAAATAGATATAAATCTCATATTTTAGACAATACTTATTTTAACATGACATGTAAAACTTACTATCTGTGTTTAGTAATAATCATAGTTAACATGTTTAACAATAATTATTATTATAGAGCACTAGGGTGAAAAGATTTTAATATTTACAAAAACTAATAATTAAACTATATTTAAATGCCTTACCTGATTCGTTAGTACAGTTTAATGTTTCAATACAAGCTACCTCAGCTTTTCTTAAGGTTGTGTAAAATTTTTGACATGCGAAGCTAATAGCACAATTGACAAATACATCTTTTATCGTCGACATGCTCATTGATATTTTAAATACATTCTTTTTATATGAATCCCATTGTAAATTCTGAAAATTCCAAAATTTGAAGATCCATAGTGTATATGAGGTGTTTAATTATTAAATTGCAGTGTCAGCACTTTATATACAACTTGCGACTAATCATCGCTTCACTCGGGTGCTTCCCTAGATAACTAACAATAGCCTATTAATTAATAACTCATTAATACAATAACTCAATACAATAACTCAATGGTCGTTTTTTTTAATTAATGTTATTAGAATGGGGGACATTAAACACATTTTGTCGGAATAAAAAACAAGCTATGGCGCTCGGCGATAATATGGCTTGCTATTAGTATAAGAGATAAATAATAAGGAATAGATAGTAGAAGAATTTTTTGGATGGGATCAGTAGTTTCAGAGATTATCTCTCTACATACAATATACCTTTATTGACTTATATACAAAAGGGTTACAAGACAGTTTTTTTAAACCATATATTTGTACAAACTTTGTTTAAGTACACTAACGCATAAACTAGGCCGTGCCTGTATCTCAGACGCTAGCCTCCGACTGCATAATATTATATTCCTTTGTCAAATTGTTTTCTTCTTTTTTGTTAGCTTTTTGCAGTCCGATTTTTTTTATTTTCAAAATATATTTTTTTATTGTATTCTACAAAATTCTTGTACATTGTTTGGATATATCTCTAAAGGTTTAACCCGCGTTAGCCGTTTCACTGCGAGCGATTAACAATTTCCATAATATGCTGTAAAGGGCAATTTCGTTCAACAACGGTTTTTGCACAACGTATTTAAATAACGTATTTAATTGTAAAATACTGTATTGTTCAAAATACTTATAGCTTTACAAAACCCTATTATTTTTATAATAATATTTAAAAGATAAAGATGGTTACTGTGGGTTATCCTGAGGAAAAAAGCCTTTCTTAGTTATATAATTTCGCAGTAACGATTTAGCAGAAGTTAACTGAGAAACACACAGACAAAAACAGAGACTTTGCTTTTTTATACTGTGTGTGTATACATTATAAATACTTTTATTTTTTAGGAAACAAATATCGTTTACCTCAAGTTCAATCCAATACTGTACGTTAATCATGGAAGTAACAAACGATGCTATTCCACAATATAAGATCTGTAACAAAATATTTTTTATATTAATAGCACTTTATTTTTTCAATATTCGTATCCTAAAAGAGGTTTTTTTTTGGTTTTAATTTATTATCTTTATAAATGTATAATTAAATAACAAAGTATGTGCATGAAAATTTTTTCACGGGACCAAATGGGTCAAAATTTTCTTTGACATAGAGATTGATTTGATTTGGTTTGATTAGAAAAAAATGATTGATGATAGTACAGTAATTTCGTATCATTGTGCTCATTTGATGGCAAAGTCAGAAGATGGATAGTTGAACTCTTCGTAGTTAGTAGTTAGATACGCTTTTATTAAGTTTTCTAGTTTATTACTTTTTATATAAAATTGGGACCAAAATAACAATGGATTAAGAATTTCAAAACATTAATTTATTAAAATAAAGTCGGTTCCGGAGTTATACGTGAATCATGTACGAACTAATGTAATAAATCTTACCAACACTTGAAATAATTTATTGTATATTTCATATGTTTTCAGTATTTTCCTGTAAATATTATATAATCTTTTCCATTCTTGTTTTATAAAATACTGCTGCTGTCTTGTATTTTCTGAAAGCATGTGTAAATTATAACGTTTTGCTATAAATTAAACGTGCACTTTGTCATAATACTCGTATATAAGTAATGATCGTAAATGTTCGTATCTTTTTTATTTCGCAACAAAACAACAAATTATGCCTATTATTTATTGTAAGTTGATCTTTTTTAGGTTTTGTGTTTAGCTAAAAGGCAACAACTTATTTTTAGTGGAAGAATCAATGCATGGCTAAAATTCAAAAGATACATCATATATTATGAACTTTTAGAATCTCAGAACAAAAGATTATTTATATATATATATTTTTTTAAATTAATTTTTACATCGTCGTACGTTCGAAAAAATAGAAATGTTTAAACATTTTATAAACATTTTATGCTGTAAATGAATAGCCGTGCAAATACCACTTTATTCAAGACACAATATTTATGTAACTGATAAAACATTATATGTGTACCTTATAAGATTTTTTTTCTACGCTAAATATATTATAAACAACTTACTCAACAAAGCTTGCAGATGCTTAAGCTCACCTATCCATAACTTTAGCTGCATTGTAATCATATTAATGACCCGAATACAATATATTGCGGTAATCGCGAAATGAAGCCAAAAAATATCAGGCATTGCTTCGAAAACTAACCGTTCACAGCCAAAAATGTAAAAAAATTGGAGAGCTATAAAGTAGATTATAGTAAAACATATTATAATCCAAGAAATAATATTAAATTTAGCGAAATTATGTTGTTTAGACTTAAACATTTTATTGACTCTTTGAAAATTTAATACTAGCTCCACGTTTAGCTGTTTATAAATGATTGTCAAAATGTAGTTTATAATATGCCCTGATGAGCAGAAGAAAAGTTCCCAAAATGTTGTAAACATAAAGAATGTATATCTACTTCGTATTATAGGAAATAAAATAATGAAACGAACAATATAACAAGTTATCGGTATTAAAAAACTAAACGCTGATAAAAGATCCACTTTTAAATTGTTGAATATGATGAAATTATTATATATCTTGTACTTTGATAGCATGAAAAAAGTTTGCACTATATGAAATGGCATGAATAAAGCTTTTATTTCCCTATCCAATAAGTTGTCGTATAAAACTTCACTATAACTTTTTTGTGTTGTCATCTTCTTGTTAAAACACTTATTACGAGTATCTCTCATCACTTTATCTCATTTATCTCAGTACTACTAATATAATTTTTGTGTTGTATTTTCTAAATCGAATTACTCGCACGTTGTGTACTAACTTCCCTTAAATACCTACTACTGAATATCGATTTAATATTCATAGAGTGTTTTTATTTGTTACATCCACATACGAGTACATAATTATGCCTTCTATCTTATTTTTTTATCTTTACATTGTTTTCAGTTCAAATAAATAGATATTGACCACATTTATGAATTTTTTAACAAAATAATATTAAAACCATGAATAAATTACAAAAATATAGAAGGTAAAATATATAAAAATAATTCAAAATTATACCACGAACCTTATCACTTTCTTCTTTTAATGTTTAATAATAATAATAATACAGTCACCAAGTACATTGCCAACATTTATAACACAATGAGTTACATATACAGTCCAAAGGAATCGAGCACCAAAAATCCAGCTAATTATAGACCAATAACATGCATGTGGTGCTATAATTTACGGACATGTAGACTAAAACAAGATATGAGTAGAGCAACAGAAAGGATGTAGAAAAAAAAGCCAAGGATTTAAAGAACAACTAACAATAGATGCAAAAGTTATGAAACAGGCATTGAATAGAAACATCCGCACTATATACATAAGTTTTAAGAAAGCATTTGACGCGGTCCCTCACAGCTGGTTACTCCATGTATTAAAACAATATAAAGTTCATCCAACCCTCATAACGTTCTTGAGCTTTGCCATAGTTCAATGGAATACAAGATTAAAGTTGACCGCCAATAACAAATTATTAACTACGGAACCGATCAAAATCGGCCGGGGTGTCTTTCAAGGGGATGCACTGAGCCCATTTTGGTTCTGCCTGGCTTTAAAACCCCTATCAGAACTACTTAATGACACAAATATTGGATTCAAGCTGAAGTGTAATAACACAGACCACACACTTTCATACTTAATGTACATGGATGACGTCAAACTCTACGCATCATACTATAGTGACTTTGAAACCTTAGAAGATATCACACAATCATTCTTTACCAACATTTGTATGGAATTTGGAGTTGATAAATGCAAAATACACTCAGTTTTCCGCGGAAAATCACAACATAATACGTACACATTAGACACCGGCGAACAAATAGACCCAATGGACGAAAATAGCACCTACAAATATCTAGGATTACATCAAGCAAAACACACTAAATTAGAACTTACCTAGAAATTTAAGCTACGATTAAACCAGGTTCTGAAAACACAATTAAATGCACGAAACAACATTAAAGCCATAAACACTTTCACAATACCAATCCTGCCTTACTTATTTGGCATAATAAACTCGTCTCAAACCGACTTAACAAAATTACAACGAATAATTAACACTCATATACTACCCATAGAAAACATCACCCTAAATATTGCATCCAAAGTCTTACTTTACCGCGTCAAAACGGAGGAATAGATTTAATTGATTTCCGCAACCTACACAACAATCTGATAACCAAACTACTTTCACTCAAAAACTGAAAATTCTGAACTCCACAAATGCATAACTGAAATAGACGAGAAATATTCGCCGCTTAATTTATTTTATTTTATTTATTTAGGTACAGAAACAGAAAACAAAAAAAAGTTACATCTTCGTATTAAAAACTAAAAATATCATATTAAATTTGTTGTCCAATTATTTCTGTACACAACATTCAAATAAAAAACATATAATAATTATATAAACAAACTTAACCAAAAGGTGAATTAATACAGTATGAGTCTGTGCATTTAAAGTAACGAGTACATAAGAAATATTAAAAAACGAAAAGAAAATAATATTTACATTTCATGTGGAAAAAAAATATAAAGAAAAGAAAAAAAAGATAAAGGAGAAGAAACAGAGAGAAAACATATCTTTATTATCGAAAGTGTAAAGTACGAGTAAGAACTATAATTTATTTAATTTTTTCTTGAACGATAATAAACTATTATTAAAAATGTCGTATTCATCATTTAAACTATTGTATGTTTTACACATTCTGCGTAAAGGGTTGTTTTGGGAAACGTTATTAGTTGCCGAAGGTATATTAAAAAGTTGTGGCTGACGAATCGAGTGAGTATGAATTTTAAATTC